GCTCACCATTAAACAACCACATGATTTTCCCAAAGTCACACTGTCACCCTCTCCCTGGCCTCAATTTTCAAGGGGAAAGAAAAAAAAAAATGACCCTTGTCAATTCTAAAATCCTTTCATTTCTGATTTCAAAAGCCCTCAACTCCCAACAGAGTCAAGAACAGAATTCACTGCTAGCCCTACTTCACAGATGACGGAGCAAAGTAAGCGGTAGATTTCATGAAAATTAACTCAGCGTCAGTTGCCACCACTTTCCAAGCTTGTGCTTATTCCACCAAACTACATTGCCTTGTGAGGCTGTGTAATAAAGTGCGACATAAAACACTTACTTTACTCCAACTTTAAACAAGGCTCTAAAAGAAACTCAGAGAACTCTTGGCAGATTGCTTTTCCTGAAAGACAACGGCCATGATGACTTAATTTCTTAATTCTCTTAGCCACTTGGCCAAAAATTTCCAGGGACAGCATCAGATGAGACCTATTACTCACATGTTTTTCAACTGTCATCTTCATTGACTACCCAAACTGAAACGAAGCTACACTCTGTTTTGGATTGGGGGAATGGTTGTGGCTGGAAGAATGGGTATAGATGGATTACAGTAACTTTCTCTAAACCCAAGGCTACTTCCATTTTTGTCCTACTTTCTCAAACATAGTTCTGAGCTACTCCAATCATTCAAAACACATGTATAAAAGGACTTTTGTTTTGTTTTGCTTTTATTTGGGTTTTATTTTTTGCTAGCTTCCCAGCTCTCATTTCATATTTCTTATTTTTTATAATCATAGTAACCATGCTGATCATACACTGTGCACGTGTGTGTGTGTATTCATAAACACAGTCTAAAAATCATTTGGGACTGAAAAAGGCCCCCCAAAATTATCAAAAATCATTGGGTTTCTTCCTTCTAGTTGTATTGCTTACCACACTCGTTTCTGTAAAAGTTACAATAAAATATTCAAAACTCCATTTACCTAAGTAAACTTAAGACAAGGTGCTCGTTATTTTGGCACTTTATGTGCTATAGTAACCAACGTCATCCTGTAGAACTACAATGTCATCACATTTAGAAAAATATCCTGCTATTAAGTCACATACTTGACTTCTACCAGCCATTCAGAAGTCCAAGCACACAGCACACACATCCAAACTACCGCTCAATAACCCATTCTACAAGACCAGTTGGGGAATAAAATGACCATCAAGTCTATTTCAAGACAAGCGATTCTCAGCATTGCACCTACTCCAGAAAGACAAAAAAGAACTTCTCCTTGCACAAGATGTCAACAGCTTTGGGACAGGGAAGGAGTAAGAACTGGTCACCAGTATGAGTCAAAGACTTGGCTATAATAAACCTCATCCCTCACTGTGTTTTCCCTATTAGGGCCATCTCATAGCAATCAAAGTGTCAAAGATTGGTGTCAAGGAAAGGTTTGACTATACATTTTTAATAGCACATAACTTCTTAACATAACTTTTGAATTAACGTAACACTGCTAAAGAAACATGGGCTTTCCAATGACCTCTAAGGCCCAAGTTCTTAGAAGAGTAGTGTCCCTTCTTGGCAGGGAATGCCCATGTAGGCAATCCTGAACCAAGCGGTCCAGCTGGCACAACGTCCATCTAAGCCTTTGAGAGTCCGACCCCCTATGACCTCACTGGTTACATTCCAAGTTCCAATTTGGTTTTTCCTCAGAAATGTAATCATCTTAAGGTACCACAACTGAAACAATCATCCCTAGTGTTTATGAATCTACTTTCCTATACAGTTTAATTCGAATCTAATGTAAAATTCATTACATCGAAAAGCTATAGCATCGTGAAGGCAGAAGGGTGACAAAGCTGGCACCCTGAACTGATGGTATTTTAGGCTACCAAGTGCACCACAGTAAAACTCCTGACCCAATTTCCACACAATGGATTCGTCCAGCCCACAACGACTTAACCTCCAAGTTGCTAATTACTTCACTGTGCTGTGTGGTCATTACATCACCAGCTGGGAGCAGTCAGGTCTACCAGGTACTGTTCAATTTTCCAGCTTTCTTTTCCCAAGAAACTAGAGACTGCAGGCCATCTATACTGACAAGAGTCTCTCTCCTCCCCAAGTCTCGGGACTATTGTCTCATAGATCTTGGTGTCACATCCTAATGGACATGGCTCTGGAGTATTTGATGTCAGGTAAGAGAGTAAAGGCATGTTATGGATTGAATTATGTCCCCCCAGAATATGTGTGGTAAATCCTAACCTCTATGCCTGTGGTTATAATCCCATTTGTGAATGGGTTGTCTTTGTTATGTAAATGAGGCAGAATTAGTATAGGGTGTGTCTTGAATCAATCTCTTTTGAGATATAAAAGAGATTAAACAAGCGATCAGAGGAGAGATGAGGTAAGATAGATACCAAGACACTGGAGACCTCAGGGAACCAGAGCAGAAGCTGAAAAGACAAAGACCCTCCTCCAGAGCCGAGAGAGAGAAAGCCTTCCCCTAGAGCCAGCACTCTGAATTCGGACTTCTAGACTCCTTAACTGTGAGAAAATAAATTTCCATTTGTGGTATTCTGCTATGGCAGCACTAAATAACTAAGACAGAGTTTGGTACCAGAAGAGTGGGGTGGTGCTCTAACAGATGCCTAAAATGTGGAAGCAGTTTTGGAATTGGATAATGGGTAGAGGCAGGAAGAGTTTTAAGGTGCCTAATAGTAAAAGCCTAGATGGCCTTGAAGAGACTGTTGGTAGAATTATGGACGTCAAAGGCAATTCTGGTGGGGGCTCAGAAGGAAGGGAGGAGAGCTATAGAGAGTTTCCACCGTCTTAGAGGATACATGTGGACGTAAATGTGCTTCTGGTGAGGCTTTAAAAGCAAATGATGAACATGTGATTAGACAATGGAGAAAGGGCAATGCTTTTTATGCAGTGGCAAAAAACATGTCTGAATTATGTTTAAATGTTTGGTGGAAGGTAGAACTTGTAAGTGATGAACTTGAATATCTGGCTGAGGAGATTTCTAAGTAAGACCTTAAAGAGCCCGTGTGGTTTCTCCTTGCCGCTTATAGTAAAATGCAAGAGGAAAGAGATTGACTTAAAAATAAACTGTGCAAAATGAAAACAGAAGTTTTGGACAGTTCTGTTGTACAAACTAAGGACACATGGCCTAGAATGTTCACCAAGGACGCGGCTACACAGTCTTTTGTTAATGAGATTAAGCCTGTGACTGATGTACCTAACCAACTAGCACAGTAGAAAACCCATCAGCTCAGACTGAAGGGACAGAAAAAGAACTAAAAGGAAAGAACGTTGTCTGCCTCTTGGAATTCTACAAGCAGGAAACAGGCCAAAGGAGCCACATCTGTTGTCTTCCAAGAAAAGAAAAGGACCATCCTTGGAGCAGCTCAGAGATCAGCAGAACTGTTGGAAGGAGCACGGGAAGCAGGGCCTTCTCGGTTTCAAAGGGTGGAGCCATGGCCTCCTAGGTTTCAAAGAGTCAGTCGGATCTTCACCAACTCACTTTGGGTGTGGGGCTGCCGTTAAGGTGTGCCAGGGGATAGGACCACCCCCAAAGCTAGGAGGCCGGGCTGCCATGCCCAAGGGGCAGAAGAATGGGGCCTGCCGGGGCCAAGGGGTTTGGGTCACCACTTATATAGACTAGGAGAATAGGACTGCCTAAAGCCAAGGAAGCAGAGTTGCCATCTCAGAGGGAGTGGAAGGTGGAGCTGAAGCCCAGGGCTGAGGTGCCTTCACCTAGAATCCAGAAGGCATGGCCAGCACCCAGAGCCTGGAGGGCGGAGCCATTGCCCAGATGGTCTCAGAGAACAGAGGATTATTTTCAAGCCTTGAGAGCTAATGTAAATTGTTCTGCTGGGTTTTGGACTTGTTGGTGCCTGTTATCCTTTCTTTCCCTCCAATTTTTGCCATTTGTAATGGAAACGTCTACCTTTTACCTGTTCCACCATCGTACTTTGAAAACAGATAATTTGTAGTCTAGATTTCACAGGTTCCTTGTTGAAAAGAAATTTTGCCCCAGGATGAAATACCCCTAAAGTCGCACCCATATTTGATTGAGATGGTTCAGAAGATGAGATTCCGGGCTTGGAGCTGATTAAGACTGTTGGGATGATGCGATGGGGTGAATGTGCTTTGCATGTGGCGAGGACATGAAATTTAGGGGGCCAGTGGGTGGAATGTTAGGGGTTGAATTATGTTCCCTCCAAAATATGTGTAGTAAATCCTAACCTCTGTGCCTGTGGTTATCATCCCATTTGGGAATCGGGTGTCTTTGTTACATTAATGAGGCAGGATTAGTGTAGGGTGTATCTTGAGGTCAATCTCTTTTGAGATATAAAAGGAGATTAAACAAGTGAGCAGAGGGGAGATGGGGTAAGAGAGATGCCAAGACACATAGAGCTCCAAGGAACCAGGAAGCAGAAGCTGAAGAGACAAGGACCTTCCTCCAGAGCCGACAGAGAGAAAGCCTTCCCCTAGAGCCAGTTCTCTGGAATTCGGACTTCCAGCCTCCTATACTGTAAGAAAATCAATTTCTGTTTGGGAAAGCCATGAGCTTGTAGTATTTCTGTTACAGCAGCACTAGGTAACCAAGACAGGGCCTCAGCCAAGGAGTCTGTTTCAATCCTCCAAATTCAGGAACAAAGTCACCTGTGAGTATCATGAGAATCCCCCAAAACTTTTTTTTTTTTTTCCCATCTCTAGGAGTTTCCAAGTCCTGACTCTCTTGAGACTTCCAGGACTCTGGATGAACCTCTGCAGAGCCTCCCGTGCTTCTGATCCCTTACCATTCCAACACCCAGCGACTCACCCCCTACTTCTAACTTTCCAGATATTTGCGAAAGAACCCAGGAAGACATGCACCTTCACACAGACACACACACACACACACACACACACACACACTCGCACACGCGCGCACACACACACGCGCATGCACACGCATACTAGCGCGGGCCGTAGGCCATCGTGACTCTGCTCCCCCTCGCCAGGCTGACTTACTTGAGGAAGTACCTCTGGCCAGTGGCCGTGAAGGTCATCTCCCAGCCCGGGGGCAGCGGCAGCTCATCTGTCACATCGTAGGACTGCTGGCGGAGGTGCGCGTGCTGCTGCGCAGGGCTGCCAGCGGCGCCCGCACCCGTGCCCAGCTGCAGGGAGGCCGGCGACGAGTGTGAACGGACGTGCTGGGCACCGCTGGCCAGTCGGGGTCCCGGGTGGCTGCCCGACGAGTCGGTGCTCGACTGGCGCGAGTGCGAGCCCGAGTCAGGCTCCTTGAAGAACGACTCGGGCAGGATCTTCTTCCGCCAGGAGCTGGGCTTGGGGTTCCTGACCGAGTTGAAGAGGGCTTCGAGGTCCGTGTCGAGGTCCTGCGTGACATGGATGACTTGCTGCCCGGGCGGCGGGAGCGGAGGGGGCCCCGAGACAGGATTCATCTTCTGCAAGCAAGAAGGAAGGTCAGACGAGCCTTTTATTGAAAGTCGGGGAGTGGGAGAATAGAAAAGAAATAGAGGAGATAGATAGGTGTCCGCCGCGGGATCCCAGGCACTCTGCAGTAAGACCAGGCGGATGGGGGAGGGGTCCCTCCTTGCCTGGAGACTTATGCAACTTTCTTGAAGCAAAGTTCTCGGGAGGAGGAGAAGGAAGGTGGGGGAGGGGAGTGGTGCCTCCACGCAGGATGTTGCTGAACTGCTGGTGGCAAAGGAAAGGTCGCAGCTTTCTAGGACAGACAGACCCCCAGAGAAGTCTCAACCCAAGCCAACTCCACGACGTCTCGACTCCGGAAGCCCGAGGAGCCAGGCGCCCTGGAGTAGGGCCGGGCGAGCGGCGCGCTCCAGCAGGCACTACCTGGGCGCGCAGCGAAGCCGAGCCTGGGCGCGCGGCGGCCGCCGTCCAGCCTGAACTCGCCGTCGGGCCTGGGTCCCTCGGGTGGGAACCGAGCTCGCGAAGCTGGAGCCGGGGCCCTGCTTGCAAATCCCGACCCACTCGGTGCCTGGCAGCCGAGGGGCTTGGGCTCTCACATCCCCCGAGCCGGCCTCAGGCGCTTGCGCTCGGCGAGATGGACGCAGAGGAGAAGCAGACTGCGCGGCCGCCGCGGCTCCCGGAGTGTCCCATAAACAAAGTTTGGAGCAAATTCCCACCCCCAGGAAAGAGGCGGGCCCGAAAGTTGAGCTGTTGAATTATGCATGACTCCGAGTCCAGAGCCGGCCTGCCACCGCTCGCCCCTCCTCTTCCTCCTCCTCCTCCTCCTCCCCAGCTCCAGAAACCGTGGGCGTGATGGGTACTTTGCACGGAAAGAGACGGGTGCCCTCCACCCACTCCTCCCGGCCGCGCGGACCTTTCCCGCGGAGCCCTGGATCTGCATTCCTTTGAGTTTACCGAAGACTTGGGGCGGGATCAAAGGGAAAGTGGCCTGAGCCTGTTTAATCAAGGGCTTGTGGACCGAAACCAAGGCTGGGGGCGGCGGAGGGCACGCGGGTGAGGGGCCCAGACCCGGGAAGAGCCAGTCCTCGGAGCCGCACCCTCACTGCCACCCGGGTGCCGAGGCCCCGGCACCCCGAGCGCCGCACGGACTCGCGGTTCTGCCCGGGGGGCGGGCTTGGGTGCGCCCCTCTGCGGGGAGCCACCAAGGCCGGCCTTTCCACGGGAGGCTGCTTAGCACTTGTGACCATATTTGGTGTGGCGAGGAGGCATCTCGGCTGCTTGGCTTTCAATTGTCTGCTCGAGCGCAGACGGTGCCCAGAAAGCGCCTCTGTCGCTGGAAATGCAGCTACTTTAGCTGGTGGGCTGTAAACAAACAACCTTCAAACCGTTCATCAATCCTTAGTTTCCTCTCCGGGGTGTCTCAGGCCACTAGGGATTGAAAAGAAACAAAGTTGGGTGCGGGAGGGGGAAAGAGATCGCGCCCCCCTCCCCCGCGCACCCCGCGCGGGTGGTGGGAGGATTGGAATGTCCCTGACGCCCTCCGGAAAGCCTGGTGCCGGGATGGAACCAGAGCAGGTGGCTGGGAGTGAGAGGGTGCGCCAGTGACCCGGAAAAAGCCACCCACCACCCACCGACTGGGTCTGGGCGAGGGGTGGAGACCCTAAACTAGGGGGAGGAAATTAAGCCTGGCGAGACAGCTGCGGGAAGAAGGAGGTGACCTTGTCCTCCAGCTCACTTCTCTCCCTTGTCCCCTCTCCACTGGGGAGAATGGGAGAGTGTCTTCAAAGTCAGGTGCGCTCCAGAATCCCTGAACCCCACTCCATTTCATTCAGATAGAACTTTTATTAAAAATAAATAAGGAAATATACGTAAAGCACTAGGAACAACACTCCACAAGTGTTTGTTAAATACAATAGAATTGTGCAGGTATTGTACTCACACTGTATTATAAGGGTGAAATGAAGTCAGAATCTGGAGTTGCCTTGAAAAAGTTTTAAGGGAAAGAGGAGTCCTCTCCATTGTTTTACTTTGGGGTGGTGAGGCCCATTCCAACTCATAGCTATCCTATAAGACAGAGTAGAACTGCCCCACAGGGTTTCCAAGGAGATGCTGGTGGATTCCAACTGCTGACCTTTTGGTTAGCAGCCGAGCTCTTAACCACTGCGTGAATTTGGGAGCCACTTGCTAAATGGTTGCATCCCTATCACTGCCCAAAGTAGAGCAGAGCCCACCAAAGGGAGCCCCTTCTCCCATTATCTGTACTTAGGAGTGTTGATCTAATTGCAGATTCCACATAGACAGTCTTTCTTAGAGAAAGACAGCCACATGGATCACTTTGAAAGTAAGCAGTCCATGGCTTCTTTCAGGAACCTCCAAAACCCCATGTTTTCCATACAGCAAATCCTCTGCCCACGGTCGGCAGAGGGAAGTGGGAAGCTACCAGAGGTTACTCCGTGGGAAGTAGCATCTTTGCAAACTAAGGTCAGAATCCACCACAGCTGCAACATTGGGGCAATAGAGAAAGTGCTGGGATCAAATGGCTACTAATTCAGAAGCAGCAAGGCTGACTTGATTAAAGGATGGAAACTGAGTCAAGCCTCTCACAGAAAGGTCCTCACCCTGAAGGAAGCGCCTGCTTTGTGAAGAAGCCTGGCTGCCACAGAGAAGAAGCATGTGCTAAGGGAGCCATGAGCCTAATCAGCGGGTGAGAATTAGGGTTGGGATTGGATGGGCAAGGCTGAAGTCTTCACTTCTTGCCAAGCTTCAAGACTTAGATGATGGGGGGCAGAGGAGTAGACAGAAGAAATTAAAATTGTCCTGATTACAGGATAACCCAAACGGGAAACTCTGGGTTCCCAAACAGCCTAGGATGTGATGGTGGATGATTCAAAAGACCTGTTGTCATCCCTGCCTTCCAACAACAGCTTCGGATTAACCTTTACAGTGCCTTGTATGTATCAGGTACTGCGCATTAGAGGGACCACGGTGTGGTGGGTAAGTGTATACCTTCTGCTGCAAAATACCTGGGCCACCTCAGGCAACCTGCTCAAGCTTTATTTCTGGGTGTCTTCTTCTTCCTCCTCCCCTCCTCCTCCTCCTCCTCCTCCTCCCCTCCTCCTCCTTTTCCTCATCCTCCCTCTCTTCCTTCTCCTCTCCTCCTCCTCTTCCTCTTCCTCCTCCTCCTCTTCTTTTTTGTAAATTAGAGGCAATAGCAATACTCACCTCACAGGATTCTAGGTTAAGACACAGTTGACCCATGATTTAGAGCACAAGCTCCAAAATATCTAGTTCTACCCCCTACCTTGGGCAAGGAACTTAGCCTCCCAAAGTCACAGTTTCCTCCCTGGTGGTGCAGTGGTTGAGTTATGGCTGCTAACCAGAAGGTCAGCAGTTCGAATCCATCAGCTGCTCCTTGGAAACCCTATAGGGCAGTTCTACTCTGTCCTATAAAAGGTTGCTATGAGTCGGGATAGACTTGACAGCAACGGGTTTGGTTCAGTTTTGGGTTTAACTCATTACATTTCTGGCCTTCAATGAACCACCCTCCTGGTATCCACACCCTTATATAATCCCTTCCATTATATCTGGACTGGGCCTGTGACTTGCTTTAACCAAGAAAATGTGGCAGTGAAGCTGTACTAGTTCCCCCCATAAACTCTGAGAAGGTATGGAAGCTTCCTTTTTTGCACTTTTGGGAGAGCTGAGCCGCCTGGTAAGAAATCCAGCTACTCTGCCGGAGAGACCACATGGAGAGGGAAAAGCCCTGAGATACAAAGAAAGGGAGAAGCCCAGCCATTGTAGCATCTGAGCTGAACCCAGCCCCCAGCCAGCCCACTAGCTGATGGCAAACACATCAATGACCACCAGCAAGACCAGCAGAAGAATCACAGAGCTGAGCCTAGTCCAGATTGCAGAATCATCAGCATATAAAATGGGTATTGTTTTAAGCCTCTAAGTTTTTGAATAGTTTGTTATGCAAATGTGCATCCTAAAGATTAAATAAGAAAATGCAAATAAAGTTCTTAGAAAAAAGCCTATTATATACTAAAAACAAGCCAAAAAAAAACCCAAACCCATTGCTGTCAAGTCGATTCCGACTCATAGCGACCCTGTAGGACAGAGTAGAACTGCCTCACAGGGTTTCCAAGGATCGGCTGGTGGATTCAAACTGCCCACTTTTTGTTAACAGCTGAGCTCTCAACCACTGCGCCACCAGGGCTCCACTATGTACTAAAGCACTCAACAAATAATGGCTGCTACTTACGTCTCAAGAAGACTAGAACAATAGATGATATATATCCTCATTTTACAGATAAGAAAACTGACCCAATGAAATTAAAAGTATCTCGTCCAAATACACAATTAATTTGCAGAAACAACATAAAAAAAAAAATCTGAGATTCATCCCAGGGTTTGTAACCCTAGAGCAGAGCGCTTTTTTCACTCTCCCATCCTGGGTGTTGACCTGTGTTTTATTGATTATGCAAAGGCATTCAACTGTGTGGATCCTAGCAAATTATGGATAACATTGTGAAGAACAGGGATTCCAGAGCACTTAATTGTGCTCATGAGGAACCTGTACTTAGACAAAGAGGCAGTCGTTTGAACAGAACAAGGGGATACTGCGTGGTTTAAAGTCAAGAAAGACGTGTGTCAGGGTTGTATCCTTTTACCATACTTATTCAGTCTGTAGGCTGAGAAGCTGGGCTGTATGAAGAAGAATGTGGCGTCAGGCTTGGAGGAAGACTTATGAACAAGCTGTGTTATGCAGCTGACACAACCTTGCTCGCTGAAAGTGAAAAGCACTTGAAGCACTTACTGATGAAGATCAAAGACTATAGCCTTTAGTATGGATTACACCTTTAACATAAACAAAACAAAAATTCTCACAACTGAACCAATAAGCAACATCATGATAAACGGAGACAAGATTGAAGTGGTCAAGGATTTTATTTTGCTTGGATCCACAATCAACACCCATGGAAGCAGCAGTCAATAAATCAAACGACAAACTGCATTGGGCAAATCTGCTGCAAAAGACCTCTTTAAAGTGTTGAAAAACAAAGATGTCACTTCAAGGACTAAGGTGCACCTGACCCAAGCCATGGTGTTTTCAATCACCTCATATGCATGTGAAAGCTGGACAATGAATAAGGAAGACCGAACAACTGATGCCTTTGAATCATAGTGTTATCGAAGAATATTGAATATACCGTGGACTGCCAGAAGCGCGAACAAATCTGTCTTGGAAGAAGTATACAGCTAGAATGCTCATTAAAAGCAAGGATGATGAGACTTCGTCTCACATACTTTGGACATGTTATCAGGAGGGACCAGTTCCTAGAGAAGAACATCATACTTGGTAAAGTAGAGGGTTAGCGAAAAAGAGGAAGACCCTCAATGAGGTGGATTGACACAGTGGCTGCAACAATGGGCTCAAGCATAACAACGATTGTGAGGATGGTGCAGGACTGGGCAGTGTTTCGTTCTGTTGTACATAGGGTTGCTATGAGTCGGAACTGACTCGACGGCACCTAACAACAACAACATCCTGGGTGAGCCAGGAGCTGCTCCCTGGTATTGCCATTTTAAACCATTGTGATAACCTACTTCCTATCTCATAGAGAAACTCCACAGTTTTTATAGGATAATC